CAGAGGTACCATTAGTGCGAATTCACAGCACATCACTAGGGAAACTACGGTTACAGGTAAGCAACCTCTCATATCCTGTGTATATCCAAACAATACATACACATATGAACCACACTTACAAAACCTTCAGAAACTTTGCTTTTGAGTAGATAAATCTTGGTGATTCAAATGATCCTTCTTTCCTTTCATGTTTTTGTTACTGTTTCTTGTATTTTGGTTTCATTTGAATCACCAAGATTTATCTATTCAAAAGCAAAGTTTCTGATGGTTTTGTAAGAGTATGGGCATGTGTATTATTTAGATACACACAGGAAGAGTTTGAAAAGAGATCATACAATAAATATAAGCTTCAGGAATGTGAACCCATCGGTGAATGTTAGCTCACTCATGCACACACTTCTGTGTGAGTCTTGTGTCTGTACAGCATGGATTTGGGAGGAGTCTGAGGGAGATGATTGTCCCAGAAAATCCAACTTCCTGCCCAAATGGTGAAAATTAGCTGTTCTTTCTGAGGAACTCTGTAGATATAACTAAATTCTGGATTTTCTGGCTCTAGAATAATATATGTACTCTGAGTTCCTACATTTAAGTAAATAATTAAAAGATGCATAACAATCATGAAAGACTAATCCCGCCTCACTCCGGCAATGTTTCACTCTTACCTCCAATGGCATAAACCATTCCTCCCAACACTGCAATTCCCAGTCCACTGCGAGCTTGGTGCAAAGAAGACACAGTAGTCCAGTACTGACTGAAAGTATCAAAACGTTCCACACAGCTGAGAGCTCTGCTGTCACTCCAGCGACCCCCCTGTAAGCGGGTGTATCCACCTTTTTGAGAAGCAGAAAAAAATAGCAGAAATGGCCTGCTTGGCCCAATGCATTTCTCAGTAGTTCTGTTTCTGAAAATATCTGAATGTTAACAAGGATCCCTACCTACAGCATAAAGGTACTTCCTGGCTTTTCTTCGTGGACGAGCCTTGGGTGTCTGCAAGAAACTGCTAATCTTGCTCTCTTTGGGAGACTTACACACTTCACAGTATTCTTTTAAGAGAGTTTGGAGAGCCACACGAAGACTGAAATCGGGAACTCCTTGGGAAGAAAAGAAGATGAAAAATTTGGTAATAGCCAACTAACAAATAAATCAGAAATATGTACAGATCTTAGTGGTAACATTTTCACTGTGTTACTGGGTTTGTACCTTTCTCTATGGAAACAACTGCACTTAAAAAAATGACTCAAATAATATTTCAGATTCTTTCTAATTATTAAACGCTAACAATAAAATGCATTGTTTTTGGAAAATATTCAGATATTGTAAGACTTGTGAGAGGAAATAGGATCCAATCTTCCAATGCAGGCATGAGCAAACTTGGGCCCTCCAGGTGTTTTGGACTCCAACTCCCACAATTCCTAACAGCCTACAGCATTAGGTTTTTTTAATGTAGAAGAAACAGGATGAACCATAGTCTTTCATACATAAGCCACAATTTCTCATCTATGAGTATTTGTATAAGATGCATTCTGGAAAACTCCTGAAAACTTGTGCCTTACCTCTCATCTTGACCAGACAGTCTACTTTTGTCTTTTCCTCCAGCTGGGAAGATATCCAATGCTTCCCTGCCTGCAAAAAGTGAAATGCCACCACATTCTGCATCATCTTACAGGCTGTTTTAATGAAACCCAGTACTACTAATAGCTGGAAACTTTCAGATAATTAGCACACTATCAAGGGTTCCAATATAGCACGGACTTAATGTAATAGAGCTCTGCTAGGGTAGTCGTTTTACAGCTGTTAAGTCGTCATATAATTAGTCCACATACTTTTAAAGATTTGAAAGGATAAAAGTCACAAATTCACACACTACTGTATACTCAATTACCTTCTATGTATTTCAACAGTCTTTGTGGGGGTAGCAATGGAAATCTAACCGTATCCAGTACTTCCACGACATATTTCTTTCTTTTCCCTAGATCCTTCAGAATCCACTGCATTGCAGATATGAAAACTTGGTATTCATCTTCTATACTCAGCTCCTCACTTCGCAAGATCTTAATAAGCTGGTCTTTTGTCAGGGCCAGGAATTCCTCCCCATTCTGGATATCCAGGAAGTGGGCATGGATGTAATTCTCTGTAAATTCTAGGAGATCGTGGCAGGCAATTTGCTCAGAGAACTGGAAGAGTCCAATGCAGTTCACTGGATCAATCTGTCCTTTCAGAAATTCACAGCAAAGATCCACAACTTCATTGAGTTGGAACATGTCTGCTGCCACTATCAACTCCTGGACATTATTTTCACCAATGCTGACTATGCCTGAATATACATGGGAAACAAACTGTTAGATGGCATGTCCATACAGTAACAAACAACCTGTTCACAAAAATGTCCTTGAAAAATATAATGTAGTTGTTCATTACATTATTAATATAATACAAACTCCAACATATACAGGGGAATATGTTCCCAAACTTCACATGGATACATCAAACTGCAGATAATAGTAAATTGTATTATTTTCAATGAGAGAAATGACAAAAGTACTGAGAACAGGACACACTTTGAACAGGAAGCCCTTAAGTGAATAAGTGAAGCAGTAGATAAGTAAAACTTCATGGATCAGTTCTGCGGATATGGGAGTCATGCTGGATTTTAAAAGGAAAGTTAGAGCAGGGGTCCTCAAAATATGTCCCGGGGGCCAGATGCGGCCCTCCAAGGTGATTTACCCAGCCTTCGCGCAGGGTCAACCTAAGTCTGAAACTACTTGAAAGCACAAACAACAACAACAACAATCCTATCTCATCAGCCAAAAGCAGGTCCACACATCCCACTGAAATATTAATCATTTTATATTTGTTAAAATTGTTCATTTTAATTATTATATTGTTTTACATGTTTTTTGCACTTCAAATAAGATATGTGCAGTGTGCATAGTAATTCATTCATGTTTTTTTCAAATTATAATCTGGTCCTCCAACAATTTTGGGGACTATGACCTGGCCCTCTGTTTAAAAAGTTTGAGGACCCCTGGTCTACACCAACTAAAATAAATGGAGTTAACAGTAAATGTAGGCGTAATTTTCTTTCGTTGCTGTTTTTACCAAGCTGTATTGATATACGGTTTCTCTACAACAGACAGATAATAAGACAGTCAAACATTAACTAGCTTAATTAATAATATTTAGGAATTGCAAACTAGGATGTAAACCTATGTCTCAACTATAAAACTTCAAACAGTTTGCTGACCTCACCAAAATATTCATGTCTTAACTGAAACTGACTGTGGTTTGAAACTACAAATTACCAAATTGCAAGAAGACAGTTTGCTTCTTCATAAATACTGTCACATACAGTTGTTAATAATAATATCACTGGGTTATGGTAACAACCATTAGCCAATAAACATTTTCAAAATCCTACATTATGGAATATGTGTGCATGATGTGTACATTCTGATCGTTTTCTATTCCAATTGCCACAGATGCAGATTCTCTTCTTGCAGTGACCTCTCAAAAACTATTAAGTGTGTTGTTGAAGGCTATCATGGTCGGAATCACTGGGTTGCTGTGAATTTTATGGGCAGTATGACCATGTTCCAGAAGCATTCTCTCCTGCCATTCTGCCCACATCTATGGCAGGCATCCTCAGAGGTTGTGAGGTCTGTTGGAAACTAGGCAAGTAAGGTTTATATATCTGTGGAATGTTCGGGGTGGGAGAAAGAACTCTTGTCTGCTTGAGACATGTGTGAATGTTGCAAATGGCCACCTTGATTAGCATTTAAGGGAACCACTGACTGCATAGGAAAGCTGATGAAGAAACAAAGCATACAAAGGATCTACAGACCCACTAAGGAAATCCAACAAATGCTATGTTCAGCAAAGGACAAGAGGGATCCTCTCACTTCTACAGGAGTCTACCGTATACCACGCAGCTGTGGACAAGTCCACATAGGGACCACCAAATACAGCGCCCAGACAAGAATCAAGGAACATGAAAGGCGCTGCAGACTACTTCAACCAGAGGTCAGCCATAGCAGAGCACCTGATGAACCAACCTGGACAGAGCATATTATTTGAGAACACAGAAATGCTGGCCCACTCTAACAACCACCATGTCAGACTACACAGAGAAGCCATTGAAATTCACAAGCATGTGGACAATTTCAACAGAAAGGAGGAAACAATGAAAATGAACAAAATCTGGCTACCAGTATTAAAAAAAACTCTAAAATCAGGACAGTAAATAAAGAGAATTCCAGACAAGAGTCAATCAGGGCAATTTAACATCTCCCAACAAAGGATTCAGTAACCAGTCAAGCTTTGAAGCTGCAAGGCCATTAAATGCTAATCAAGCTGGCCAATTGCAACATGTACACTGCCACAAGCAGAGAAGAGTTCTTTCTCCCACCCTGGACATTCCACAGATATATAAACCTCTGAAGATGCCTGCCACAGATGTGGGCAAAACATCAGGAGAGAATGCTTCTGGAACATGGTCATACAGCTCGGAAAACTCACAGCAACCCTGTTAATTAAATATTTATGAACCACAATTAGAGGTATGAAAACTTTTGAAATAATTACTATTAAAGAGTAAAACAGTATGTACAAACAGAGGCAAAACATTAGATCCACAAGTTTCTCATGTTACTAAAGCACTGCAAGAAAACATAAACATAATTTACCTGTGTAAATAAAGTCTAGGAGGATCTGAAATATGCCAGCATCCACGCCCATGATCTGCACAGTATCCTTTGAAGCCTCTCTCATCCCTCCAGCAAACAGAGCTGCAAAGTAAGGGCTACTTGCAGCCAAGACAAGCCGGTGGACCTTGAATACTTCTTCACCAACCTGGAGTTGCACATCACAAAAGTGGTGTCCGCATCTCATTTTGTTGATCTGGGCCAGTATGAGACGAGCATGCCTGTCTGCCAAAAACGGGGATTCGCTTGTGCTGGAACAAGCCATGACAGGGTCACAGAGAAAGCGTGCCTCTTGTAGCCATCATTTTCGGAAGAACTTGAGAAGAAACGTTTTGAAAATTAGAGATGAGGTCAGTGCTGAGCAACAATAATTTAATGTAACTATATTTTAATAAAACTAATGGAGCCACCCGGTGGGGCAGTGGGTTAAACCCTTGTGCTGGCAGGACTGAAAACCAACAGGTTGGAGGTTTGGATCCAGGGAGAGCGCAGATGAGTTCCCTCTATCAGCTCCAGCTCCCCATGCAGGGACATGAGGGAAGCCTCCCACAAGGATGGAAATACATCAAAAACATCTGGGCATCCCCTTGGTAGTGTCCTTGCAGACAGCCAATTCTCTAACACCAGTTGCTCCTGACACAACCAACCAAATAAATAAATAAATAAATCTAATCATACTTGTATATCCCAGACATTATTATTTTGATTAGTAACCCATTTCCATGTATGATTTCACAACTGAAAAAGCACTAAACAGATGAGATGATCAAATGATGGATACTGAAATTTTCTTCAGGTTTTTCTATCAACTATCCAGCTGCCACTTTATTCCTTTCCTATTTCCCCTAACTTCTCTTTCTGTGCTTGATTGGCCCCATTTGATAAATAATAGAACATTATGTTCCCATCTACACTGACTGTTTAATGCAGTCAAACTGCTGTGGCCAGACAACAAACTCACAAAAGTGCGCAAAAGAAAGCCCTTAATGTGTTCTACGGTTTGTGTAATCACCATCCTGGCCTCAAATTGGTTCCAGGATTTCCTATCATTTGCACTATGAAATCACTTTCTCCAATACCAACTTGAAACTGCTTTAAACAGTGTATATCGAATCGTGCTTAATAATCTGATTATCTATTATACAAAAAACAGAAATTGGTATCACATAGACAGGGGATATAGTTGAGTCCCTGGTGGTGCAATGCTGACAGGACTGCTGACCACCAAGTCAGTGGTTCAAATCTGGGGAGAGCAGGTTGAGCTCCCTCTGTCAGCTCCAGTTCTCCATGCAGGGACATGGGAGAAGTCTCCCACAAGGATGGTAAAACATTAAACATCGAACAACCCCTGGCCAACTTCCTTGCAGACGGCCAATTCTCTCACACCAGAAGTGACTTGCAGTTTCTCAAGTTGCTCCTGACACACACACACACACACAAATAGTGGAGCCAAAAAACACTTCTAATTTCTTCCCTCAGAAGGAACACACTGGGATACTCTTAAAAGATGGACATACGGTCAGGGCAACTAGCATCCTTTTAAAGATTCCCATTACACTTTGCTGTATGGTTACAGATGCCCCTTTATCAGCTTTTCAGGGCCAAGATGTTCATGACATTTTCGTAGCACAGTTATAACATCAGGACCCAGCTGGTTTTAAAAGGACTGAAGTTGTAATCTAATCACAACACAAGGAACACAAGTGATACTCTTTTCCTTATCACTGACGACACTGCTATAGCATTACATCCCACTTCAACTACCATGGCAACAGCCTATGGAATTTGGGATTGGCAGTTTAGGGAGGAGCGTGCAGAATTCTCTGCCAGAGATCTTGGGCCTCGTGGAACCACAAGACCAGAGTGCCACAGAACGTTGCCATGGCAGCTCAAGCAGAATAAGAGTGCGACACCAGTGCAGTGAGCTAAAGGCCATAATATCAGACACCTCTGCCTAGGTTTTTTTTTTATCATGTCAGAAGCGACTTGAGAAACTGCAAGTGGTTTCTAGTGTGAAAGAAATGGCTGCTTGCAAGGATATTCCCCAGGGAACTCCAGGATGTGTTACCATCCTGTGGGAGGCTTCTCTCATGTTCCCGAAAGGGAAGCTGGAGCTGACAGATGGGAGCTCACTCTGTCTCGCGGATTCGAACTGCCAACCTTCAGATCAGCAGCTCAGCTGGCACAAGGGTTTAACCCATTGTGCACCATGGCTCCCTGCCCAGCTAGGAAGGCTTAAATATAATACTATGGTGTGTATGCATGAGCTGCAGTTTTATGTCGGGACCTTCCTTTTTATATGTGTGTGTCTGTATAAATATGCATGTATACTTGGTCGTGTCAGGAGCGATTTGAGAAACTGCAAGTCACTTCTGGTGTGAGAGAATTGGCCGTCTGCAAGGACGTTGCCCAGGGGATGCTCGGATGATTTGATGTTTTTATCATCCTTGTGGGAGGCTTCTCTCATGTCCCTGCATGAAGAGCTGGAGCTGTTAGAGGGAGCTCATCCGCCTCTCCCTGGATTTGAATCTGCAACCTTCAGTCCTGCCAGCACAGGGGTTTAACCCACATGTATACTATTATTGTATTATTATGTAATTTATTTATATCCCGCCCTTCTCACTGAAGGAGACTCGGGGTAGTTCATACACACACACATGTATGTATACATGTAACTAAACTATACATGCATATACAGGCAGTCCCCAAGTTACAGACAAGATAGGTTCTGTAGGTTTGTTCTTTCAGGAGTGAATTCCCCTTCCAAGGGGTAGGTCCCTCTCACTTCCTGCTGTCTCATCCCTGTTCTTAGCTATGAGCACGTTGTAATTTGAATGTTTGCAACTCAGGGATTGCCTGGACCGTTAAAATACATATATTAACATGCATAAGACAATTAAAAAAAACAAACACCAGTACTAATAAATTTAAAGTTTGAATTCATTGTACAAAACTGACTGGGAAAGCCTGTTTATGTGTGTGTGTGTGTGGGGGGGGGGGGGCTTCCACACAGATTAATAAAACTTCAAATTTTCTGCTTTGAAGTGGAATATATGGCAGTGTGGACTCAGATAACCCAGGGCCCTTCCACACAGCCCTATATCCCAGAATATAAAGGCAGAAAATCTCACAATATCTGCTTTGAACTGAGTTATCTGACTTTTGTTGTTCATTCGTTCAGTCATCTCCGACTCTTCGTGACCTCATGGACCAGCCCACGCCAGAGCTCCCTGTCAGCCGTCACCACCCCCAGCTCCTTCAAGGTCAGTCCAGTCACTTCAAGGATGCCATCCATCCATCTTGCCCTTGGTCGGCCCCTCTTCCTTTTACCTTCCACTATCTGACTACACACTGCCATTTATTCCACTTCAAAATAGAAAATGTGGGATTTTATTCAGCTGTGTGGATGCGGCCCCAGGTCAAAGCTGATATTGTGGGATTTTCTGCCTTGATATTCAGAGATGTAGGGCTGCGTAGAAGGGCCCTGGATGGATGGTCAAATAGAGATGTTTGTGTGTAAACATATACAGTAGCATCTTGCTTATCCAGCCTTCGCTTATCCAACGTTCTGTATTATCCAGGGTGGGAGAGAACTGTCTGTTTTGGTACTAAATTTGTCAATACAATAATTACTACATAACGTTACTGTGTACTGAACTGCTTTTTCTGTTGATTTGTTGTAAAACATGATGTTTTGGTGCTTAATTGGTAAAATCATAATGTAATTTGATGTTTAATAGGCTTTTCCTTAATCTCTCATTATTCAGCATTTTTGCTTATCTAATGTACTGCTGGCCTGCTTATGTTGCATAAGTGAGAGTCTACTGTAGATATCTACATGCACACATAGATACATATATTTATATGCATGTGCACGCACACACACACACATATATATAGAAGGATATCTGTATATGTATGCCTATCTCTGTGTGTATATTGGGAGAGAAGGGGCAACTTAATTATATCGTCCTTGGGATTTGCAAAACTGGACTGGAAAACTGGGGGGAAAGGAGGGAACTTAGTGTTAAGACAACAGCAAGTTCCTTTAGCCTTCCCTATTTCCTTTTAAACATATTTGTGCTCAAATGAATGGCAGAGTTCAAGTCCACCCATCCCCCGGATGTATGCAGTCCCCTACCATGTCCCCCTTTCTCGCGAGGAGGCCCAGCACCCACCCACCTTCCCTCCCTACTTCCTTCCTTCCTTCCTCTTCCTCCTAGCGGGCACCCTGTCGTTGCAATCAAAGAGGAGCTGAAGATCTACCCCTCTGCCCCTCGCAGGCATGCATTCCTTCGGGCAAAGGGAGGGGATCTCTCCTGCACCCCCAAAACCTCCTCTGCTCCAGCCACTTACCGCCCTGCGCAGCTGCCGGGAGAAAAGGGGCGGGGTCAAGCAGAGCGGGTGCGTCACGGGGGGCGTGGCCTTCTTTCAACTACAAACCCCAGGAGCCTCTACAGAATGTTTCCTTTGCATTTCAAGCGTCTTTATAGTGCTGCCACAACGCAGAGTGCTAAGGGATATCCAATGCTGCAAGGCCATTAGATGCTAATCAAGATGGGCAATTGCAACATTCACATTGGCCTCAAGCAGACAATAATTCTTTCTTGTCACATCAGCCATAGCAGAGCACCTGATAAACCAACCTAGTGGACACAGCATATTATTTGAGAACACAGAAGTGCTGGACCACTCTCACAACCACAATATGAGACTACACAGAGAAGCCATTGAAATCCACAAGCATGTGGACAATTTCAACAGAAAGGAAGAAACCATGAAAATGAACAAAATCTGGCTACCAGTATTAAAAAACAGCAAAACAACAGAGGGGAAACAAACAGGCACATAAAATCACTCTCAACAAAAGATTCCCCCCAGGCACTTCCAAGCCATTGAATGCTAATCAAGGTGATCAGCTGAAACATTCACACCTAGCCCCAGCAGACAAAAGTCCTTTGATGTATTGTCGAAGGCTTTCATGGCTGGAATCACTCAGTTCTTGTGGGTTTTTTCGGGCTATATGGCCATGTTCTAGAGGCATTTCTCCTGACGTTTCGCCTGCATCTATGGCAAGCATCCTCAGAGGTAGTGAGGTCTGTTGTAACTAGGAAAAAGGGTTTATATATCTGTGGAATGACCAGGGTGAGACAAAGGACTCTTGTCTGCTGGAGCTAGGTGTGAATGTTTCAACTGACCACCTTGATTAGCATATAATGGCCTGACAGTGCCTAGAGCAAACTTTTGTTGAGATGATTAGATGTCCTTGTTTGTTTCCTCTCTGTTGTTGTGCTGTTGTAATTTTAGAGTTTTTTAATACTGGTAGCCAGATTTTGTTCATTTTCATGGTTTCCTCCTTTCTGTTGAAATTGTCCACATGCTTGTGGATTTCAATGGCTTCTCGTGTAGTCTGACATGGTGGTTGTGAGAGTGGTCCAGCATTTCTGTGTTCTCAAATAATATGCTGTGTCCAGGTTGGTTCATCAGGTGCTCTGCTATGGCTGACTTCTCTGGTTGAAGTAGTCTGCAGTGCCTTTCATGTTCCTTGATCCGTGTTTGGGCAATGCTGCGTTTTGTGGTCCCTATGTAGACTTGTCCACAGCTGCATGGTACACGGTAGACTCCTGCAGAAGTGAGAGGATCCCTCTTGTCCTTTGCTGAACGTAGCATTTGTTGGATTTTCTTGGTGGGTCTGTAGATAGTTTGTATGTTGTGTTTTCTCATCAGCTTCCCTATGTGGTCAGTGGTTCCCTTGATGTATGGCAGGAACACTTTTCCTCTGGGTGGATCTTCATCTTGACTCTTGTGGCTTGTTCTCGGTCTTGCAGTTCTTCTGATGTCTGAGGTGACTGATTGACTTTGCAGGTATACCATGACTGATTGACTTTGCAGCTACAACACCATTCAGTGCTTATCAAGGTGGCCAATTGCAACATTCACACTGGCCTGAAGCCGACAAGAGTTCTTTCTCCCACCCTAGACATGCCACAAATATATGAACCCCACTTGCCCAGTTTCTAACAGACCTTTATACACACATACCCTCACTGATTGACTTTGCATCTACAACACTATTCAAGGTGGCCAATTGCAACATTCACACTGGCCTCAAGCCGACAAGAGTTCTTTCTCCCGCCCTGGGCATCCCATGGATATATAAACCCCACTTGCCCAGTTTCTAACAGACCTTTATACACATACCCTCACTGATTGACTTTGCATCTACAACACTATTCAGGGTGGCCAATTTCAACATTCACACTGGCCTCAAGCCAACAAGAGTTCTTTTTCCCACCCTGGGCATCCCATGGATATATAAACCCCACTTGCCCAGTTTCTAACAGACCTTTATACACATACCCTCACTGATTGACTTTACAGCTACAACACCATTCAGTGCTAATCAAGGTGGTCAATTGCAACATTCACACTGGCCTCAAGCAGACAAGAGTTCTTTCTTCCACCCTAGACATACCATAGATATATAAAACCCGCTTGCCCAGTTTCCAACAGACCTCACAACTGCTGAGGATGCCTGCCATAGATGTGGGTGAAACATCAGGAGAGAATTCTTCCTGAACATGGCCATACAGCTCAGAAAACTCACTGCAACCCAGTGATTCCGGCTATGAAAGCCTTCGACAACATATTCAAATAATGTTTTATTTGCCTTCCTCTAAGGGTGGGAGAGTGGAGCTTAAGGTAACCCAGTGGATTTTCATAGTCTAATAAGGATTCAAATCCTGGAGTCCGACAGTCAGATCAACATGCCATGCTGGCTCTTCTCTTTGAATAAGTCTGTTTTTCTTTGAAGTGTGCAAAGATCCATTACACTAGAGTCTGCTGTAACAGAAGCACTTTGAAAAAAGGATTTTACAGCTTAGTGCTACATTGACAGTGTTATTTTCTCAACAAAAGGCATCTCCTTATCTTTTTTGCACATAGTACAATAGATGGATGATACCAGAAGGGGGCACACCCGCAGCATATTTCATGTACAGTCATCTCAGAAGCAGTTTAAAGACTGTGGTCAAAACCTGCCATAGCATTTCATCTTGGTATGAACAAATTGCAGATACAGGCTCTATATCTTATTTGATATACCAGCAGTGTAGCCTTATAGACACCCAGAACTAAGACCTTCTAAACCCTATGGGGGTTGCTTTAGGGCAGAAATGCACAGAACGGCAGTGTAAAATATTACCAGATGTGGTCTAGTGGGTAGAAAATGAGGACTAGCAAAAAGTGAATGGGGAAATCTATTTAGTAAAAGGATCTAAGAAAGGTATTGGCACATGTCCCAGGCCCCTTCTACACTGCTATATAATCCAGATTATCCAAGCAGATAATCCACATTATCTGCTTTGAACTGGATTATATGAGTCTACATTGCCAAACAATCCAGCTGAAATCAGATAATCTTAATGTTATATGGCAATATAGAAGGGGTCCTAGTGTATCAATTCTGAATACCATAGCTTTCTCTCAGAAACAGGAGCATTTAGGGCAGGCACAATGGTATATGTAATCTCAACTATTAATGCCTATCTGGACTATCTATGCCTTCATTCAGTGTATCTCTGACTACTTTGTTTTATTTTTAAACACTTTACATTTTGAAGTGCCAAAACCAGCACCACCCAAGAATTCCAGTCCAACCCTTCACCCACCTCTCATAGGGAAGATCAGAAGACAGAGGTACTGTATTAGGAAAGATGAGAAAAGAACATGCCTAATGTAATCGATAAAAACATACATAAGAAGCATAATTAACACAAGACAGCAGTGGTCAGGAACCAGATAAGGGATTTGTGTATGTGTGTGTGTGTCAGGAGTGACTTGAGAAACTGCAAGTCGCTTCTGGTGTGAGAGAATTGGCCATATGCAAGGACGTTGCCCAGGGGATGCCTGGCTGTTTCGATGTTTTACCATCCTTGTTGGAGGCTTCTCTCATGTCCCTGCATGGGGAGCTAGAGCTGACAGAGGGAGCTCATCCACGCTCTTCCTGGATTTGAACCTCCGACTTGTCAGTCTTCAGTCCTGCCAGCACAAGGGTTTAACCCATTGCACCACCAGGGGCTCCTACCAAATAAGGTTGTTAGACTACAGTATGAAAAGTTGCACTTGCCAAAATTCCTAACTCTACAGAAATATAAGAAGTCAAGTTGTTGTTTACTGATATCTAGTCGACATTGATTTATGGCTCATTACTCTTTTCTATTTAGTCACCATAATATTACAATTTCTCATGTGAGTGAGGCAAATTGCAACTGCAGCAGTAAAATTGTTGGAAATTATAACCTTCTTCAAGCCTCCTCTATAATTAGTTTATCTATAATCCTGTTGCTTACTTATTGTATGTATGTTCTGATATGCAGCTTTCTTTCCTTGCTCTATGTTTTCCTATGAAGTTGTGGGAGGGGCTGCAGACCACATGATCTGCTCTGAGATGAGCATAGAGGACAGGCTTCTTTAGACTTTGGGACTGCTCAGTTCTCAGACTTGCAAACACTTGCCTGCTGTTTTTGTTGTCATAGAGATATTCTGACCAGATGGCACAGAAATTATCTCAAACATATCTGTAACTGACTGATAAGTTGTGTTCCTTAGTATGCTGAACACATGAAAGTTGTGAGTAAACCAAATGGGTTATTTTTTTTACCAAAGTCTACATTATTTTGTCTCTTGAGTGCATCATATAAAACAAGTTGTTTTATGTGAGAGTAGATATATTTTTGGGTATTGAGAAACACTTCTGAAGAACTGCTATTTAGGCACTGGCATATTCTCTGATTTCTAACAGCTCAGAGTCAATAGGTTATTCAGTCTAACAACTGAAGCCAAATTGCCTTGCATAATTACATTTGGTTGTATATCGCTTGAGAAAATTCTACCAAAATGAGTTTTTGGCTCTTCTCTAAAAGGTTATGATCTCCAAAAGTTATGCTTTTCTAAAAGGAAGAATGTCTTTGCCTTGAACTTCAAACATGACGTTGCTCTTTTCCACTGCTCTCCCGGTGGGAAACAGACTATAAAGCATTTATTTTCGAAAGACACATAATCTGTTAATTAACTTCTTTTGTGAAAAGAACACCTTCCAATGGTCTCCCACCAGAAGCACTCCAGGAAAGGATAAGTGATGAGTTCAAGGAAAATAGTTGCAATTTGCCTGTCTGATGAAATTAACTCAATTGATTGGTACTAAAACAACCCATTGCAACAGATGGGTTGGTAACTAGGTTGAACAAATATTTGTAATGATATTTGATCTCTGAAATGTTTGATTTAGAGAAATGTTGTATTTCAGCCCAAGACTGTTTGCACTTCAATGAGGCAACTTGTTTGTATGAGCAAATGATTTGAATATTGTCAGAACTCAGTGCCATGTAGTGTTCATGTTCGTATGTCTCACTTCCCCCTTTGGGAACAATCATCTTGCTTAAAAGATAAAGGGCTTAACAAGAGAATTAACGGAGGAGTGTGTGTCATGAATTCATCACAGCTGTGTGGGGGAGAGGAGAACCAAATGCTTAATGTGCCAAGGGCATTTCCATTCCATTTCCAGCTAGAAAATAATGTATGGACAGAAGAATTACTGTAGACTCAGAATTAAAGGGATGTGGTCCTATATTATAGAGCTGCAGAGGAGTTTGAAGGGGGAGAATGCTTCTGGAACATGGCCATACAGCCCGGGAAACTCACAGCAACCCATTGAAAGTCTGTGTTAGGGTGTATGTAAGTGACTTCAAGTTGCCCATTGACTCAGGGCAGCCCCATGAATTTCTTAGGCAGCCTATAAATATTTTTCTTCTGTTTTAGTTGCATCACAAAACAGTGGTCAGGGCTCTACACCAGCTCCACTCATTGCTTCTCTTGGCACCATTCAGGACATAAGACATGAGTCCTACTTCATATAGGCACATAGAAAGTATATTTTATTTCTGAGCAATCAACAAACAGCTTAAAAGTATCAAGAATTTCCAGTTCCCTTTGCTTTGATTGTATGTGCATATTCCCAGGTTGACATCAGGTCCTCTCACTAGATCAGGTGTTACCTACAATCTCATGCAACATTTCAGAAACTGATTTTCACTAGTATCCACTGAGCCTTTCTAAAAATTATTCAGGAATTATAGTCAAAGTGCTTTAGCAATGTTATACAAATAAAGGATTAGGATAAATTTGTTTTAAGTGCTAACATTTGTCTTTTCCTTATGCAACCTCCTGGAATTTGTGTCTTGTAGACAATCATTGTGTTTACTAGACAGTTGCCATCTTTAGTGGATCTGAGACAGCGGAAGCATACAAAGTAAGCAACATTTAATTTTGGAAAGTACTGGGTCAATTTAAACTGACATAAGCAGTGAGAATTAAGATATTTGGTGACACAGGAAGCTACCAAGAAATACTTTGTAATGAGAATGTCAAATAGATCTCCAAAATAACATTGACTTGTACAAGAGCAAACCTGAGACTTTCAGAGAGCTTATTTTTTACCCATCTGGAATTAGCCTAATTTTGATAGCTTCAACAGACCTTAATAATATGTTTCTGCCAGATTCCTTGAAAAGCCTTTATGTAACCTATTACAGCAATTTAAAAACCACCAATTAATATGAATGGCTGTCCATATTTTTGGCAGGTCATCCTATGTGTGCGAACAGCCTGTCTTGTCCATTTTGATTGTCTGAAAGGTCATATTTCAAAAATTGTATTTCCAGGTACACCAGAAGTTAACAAAAGGCAATATATTGGATAAAATGCAGAAGAAACCAGGATAAAAAGGAGTGGGTGAATAATGACGCTTAAGGAAAATACACACTGATTTGGATGTAACAGCTGAAAAACACATGCACTAAACCCTATTTTGGCAAAAAATACTAAACATAATTCTAATGTCTTAAAAGAAATCTGTGAGTTTCCTGGACTAGGGACAAAGATAAGGATACCAGGAAGGTGTAATTGTTTTAAACACAAATACTGCCATTATGAAATAGTAAACACACCTGTCACAAAGAAATACAAAAGTAGCTTCATGCGTCTCTGATGTTTCTACTACAGCTATCCACATAGCTGATGAGACAGCTGTCCTGTCTGGTTATGCAAATGGCTGCACTGGTCATATCAAATAAATGTTTCCCATCCCTCCTATCCAAGACAGTCTGATGCACAAACAGCCTTTGAACAATTTGTTAATAGCACAATTAAAATGAACAAACAGTGTCATCAGGGGAGGTGTGCCTAGAAAGAAGTTGTCTGATGTTTGGTCCTAGCAACTTTACTGCAGTTGGATCTTTTGCTGAAGAAAGTATTGTCGAATTCCTAAGACTCTGTAACGAATGAATAAAGAACAAAGCAATCAAATTTCATCTTCAGATTACACAGTCCCCTTTTATAATGACATTGTTTAATGACACTTTATTCCAAAGCTATACCTTGTTCTGATAATGTAGATTAAAATGCCCACTTCCTCAGGGCCCTTCCACACAGCCCTATATCCCAGAATATCAAGGCAGAAAATCTCACATTATCTGAGTGTGGACTCAGATAACCCAGTACAAAGCAGGTATTGTGTGGAAGGGCCCATAATGACCCAGGTCCCTTCCACCCAGCCATATAACCCAGAATATCAAGGCAGATAATCCACTATATCTGCTTGGAACTGGATTATCTGAGTCCACACTGCCATATATTCCAGTTCAAAGCAGAAAATGTGGGATTTTATTCAGCTGTGTGGAAGGGGCCTCAGCAAGCGGAATTAAATTCCCAGTTCAAGGTTCAAATCCATTGGAGTGGTCCAAAGGTTCTGACAGGAACAGCTGCCTCTGTTGAGAGCCAACCTTGGGCGACTCCCTAGTTTCTTATGTTGAGAAGCTGGGATCAGACCATTGCTCTGACTGCTAGGTCAATGCACTCAGCACAGATGTTGCCAAATAGAGCTAAGAGCGAGTGCTGAAACGGCCTTGTCCTCCAATTCTGGGACATATTAGGACTTTCAGATGCACTTTTTCCATGGCCACACGTGTATTCATTAACTGGCTTTACAATTTTATGATACACTGTACAAGTACATTAGTTCAGTGATTAAGCTGGCTGATGTTTAATTTTGTCTTTTCATGAAATGGTCTCTCCCTGATGGACAAGGCCTCGTAGTTCAATAAAATCACACTGAAGCCAGGATTCAAGCTTTACAACTAGCTATTAGCAGCATCCATCTTGGTTATATAAAGACTTGACTACTACAAGATGATTTATCTGGAACTGTCTAGTAGTTTCGATTTGACAAGAAAAAAGCAACAGGCAGAATGTTCATGGGAACAAAGCTGCATAAAAGAATTGCACCCATTTTAGAACATTTACAGAAGTTAATATATTTCCATGAACAAGTCAGAGTATTGATTACTGACCATAGTCCTAAATGGCTTGAGTCCAGGCTTGTGCCTAAAAGACACATCCCATGGCATTTGTTTCTTTATGGAAAGGGCCCTTCTTTGCACCCAAAAATATGTTGATACTGCATTGCTTGGGACCCCTAAGGGCCCTTCCAGACAGGTCCTATATCCCAGGATCTGGTCCCAGGTTTTCTGTTTATTCCAGATTATCTGGCAGTGGGAACTCATATAATCAAGTTTAAAGCAGAGATCAGATCTTGGGATATAGAGGGCCCTTCCACACAGCCCTATATCCAGAATATTGAGGCAGAAAATCCCACAATATCTGCTTTGAACTGGGTTATCTGAGTCCACTCTCAGATCGTGTGGGATTTCCTGCCTTGATATTCTGGGATATAGGGGTGTGTGAAAGGGCCCAGAGACTGTCTGGAAGGGTCCTAAGAAGGCAATTTTTGTGACTATACCCCAGTTGGATGGGAGACCACCAGCAAATGCCAGGTGCTGTAGGCTATATTTAAGAGGAAGAGAATGGCAAAAGACCTCTGAGTATTCCTTGCCTTTTAAAAATCTATGAAATTTTTGGGCCACCAAAAGTGGACAGGCAACATGTGGGAGCTCATTACAGCATACGTTTCTTTACATTCTTTTTCTTTCAGCTTCTGCCAATGACTGAGAACAATGTTGCTCAACCAAGTTTTTTTTTTGTTAGTCTAGGTATTTTTTTTATTTAATTTCAAATTATTTGCAGTAATGTCTGTTTTCTGAGATTTAAATTACTTAGTCAGATTGGGTTTTCATGTTCTTGTGGTTGTCAATTATATGTTTGTGTATGTATTTCAAATATCTCTATTTAAAAGGAACCCGGTTTCATCTATCTTGATTTTTTTTTAATGATGCTTACCTCTTCTACCACTGACATTATATGCCTGTGGCGTCTTCTCTTATCTCTTCCACCTGCTTTATTTTGTCTGTCTGGAGGTGACACAGTTCTTCATCATCTTTAGTGGTGGAGGTGGTTGTGCTACTATTGGAAGACCTCTCCTTCATGATTTTGATCACTTTATCATCCATTTCATTCATCTGCAGGCAGAGGCAGTTGGAATCGCTAACTTTGAGTGAAATGCCCCACATGGTCTCGCATATGTCAGTCCCATTGGCATACATCTGTGTGTCAGAGAGGAAAAAACTGGTCATGCTCAGAACATTCAATTCTGAGGTGTATTGTCATCAAGCGGTTATGAATGAGCTAGTCATTCTGGTTTGTCAGTATAAAGGTGACAAGTACAAGACTTAGCACTGGAAACAACTGGTTTGGGATAAATAATATTACCCGTATTTACTTAAGTCTAATGCACCATTGAATCTAATACACACCTCAGTTTTCAAAGCCCTGAAACCAAAAGAAGTATTTGCTGGCTAATGCGCAGCAGCAAAAAGTGCACTCTTTGTAATTTGGCCAGAAGAGCTGCACATTACAGTGTCTGCATGCTTATAATTCCTTATTTAAAAACAAAAGCGTTTGAACACCAAAGTTTTCAGCAAAGAAAAAAACCCCTTGGGGTGCATGTGCTGTAGAATCAATCCACTTCAACTGCCTTGGCTCAGTGCTATGGGCTTATAGGGGCTATAGTTTGGGATCATGGGGGGGGGGGGGGTGCCAAAGAATACTGATGCCTCACCAAACTACATATCCCAGCATTGCATAGCATTGAGTCATGACAATTAAATTAGAGATAACTTCCCTCAAACAGGAGCTCCAGGTGCTCCTGAAGTAATTTTCCCTTTGGCTTTGGCTCAGCACTAAGATTATCATATTATGTAAATATAATGTGCAATTTAATTTTGGAAGATAATTTTGCAAAAAAAAGTGAGCATTAGATTAGAGTAAATGCGGTAATTCCCCATTCTGTCAGCCATTTGCACACATCAGAGGGAAAATTGTTGATACATTTACTATAAGTGTTAAAAGTATGTAGGTTGTGGGAAGAACCAGAATCAAATCCTTTATGTACTGTCCAATTCTATTCCTTTTTGGCTTCTGGCTACTTTTATTTTCCATTATAAACCAACACAATTCTCAAATTTCTTAATGTCCCCGAGAATGTAACTTACACTATGAAAAAACATTGCCCAGTTAATAAAATCCCACATTATCTGCTTTGAACTGGAATATATGGCAGTGTAGACTCAGATAATCCAGTTCAAAGCAGATATTGTGGATTATCTGCCTTGATATTCTGGGTTATTTGGCTGTGTGGAAGGGTCCCTAGTCTGCCATTTTTGTTGCCCCTGGTATTGTGGCTAGTGCTAAATCATGGACCGAGGAGATAGAGCCTTGAGTGATAGAGCCTTGAGCTCATAATGATAGAGCCTTGAGTCAGAAATGTTGGGACCTACTCTCTGGAATAAGCAAGAGGGCTCCTATTCAGTGCCAGTTGGCTTGCCACATTATGACATATGTAATCAAGGTGACCAGAGCTGGGAGTTGACTCATAGTTTCTTTCTGTTTGAAAAAAGGTCTCCCTTAGACATCAAACAGCCCAAGAAGGCCAATGCCAAGGCAAAATGGCATCACTAGCAGCATTCATACTAAAACCAAAGTTCCCTACCAAAATGGTACAAATATTTTTGGGGAGAAGGTAGCAGGGAATGCAGCCCTTTAAGGTCCCATGGAGAGCCAGTATGTCACCCCCTTACAAAATCTTTGTGGCTTCCCACCATGCCTTATGCTAACAATTGATCTTTCGGGTGTTTTTAAAGTGCAGTTAATTCAATATGTGTGTACTGACCCTATTTTCTATTAAAATATACTAGAATTCTGGAATGGTCCAAGTGGATAAATTTCTTACTGAAGTATGGTTTGTTAATGTTGCATCTTTCTAATTTAAGTTTTGTCTTCTGGTTGCTTCACACAGGAGCTTTGTCTGTGGCTTATGAGCAGCTTATGATACACTACCTGACTGTAGGAGATGCACTCATTCTTACAGTGATTTTCTCCTCTTTCATCAATCTCCCAGTCAGTCAGAGAGTTCTTGACACAGGTGAGATCATTCTTACAAGCGTCATACCTACAAAGTGAGGAAAGAGACAAATTGCAAGAGGTTTCTTTGCTTTGTGAAGTCCCTCTTGATAGAACACAGAAAGCATGTAGGCTTATTAATCATTTTATTACACTCAGTTCACTCTCTGTGTGCACAGGAGTAAATAGCTGGCATACTAGTAAACTGGCAGTCAGCAATATACAAAGTTATTTCCCACCTGGCAATGATTTAAGTCAGTCAACAGTTACAATGATCTTATTTTTTGCTAAACGAATGTCTAAAGATTAACTACTTACTTACTTCTACTTAGGTGATCCCTCATTGTCCGAGTATGAAGGCCTTCCAAGTGTAGTGTCTTGGCAGTGGATACATAGGTGACTGTAGAGCCCTATTTTTGGCTCACATGTTTTTCCACAATGAGGACATCAGTTTCCAGGTGGAAAATGGTTCCGGTCAGGGTTGGCTTGACACGCCTTCCTCTTGACATGTTTCTCCCTTTTGCCCTCCATTTCTGCCTCTTCAAATTCTGCAGCACTGCTGGTCACAGCTGACTTCCAGTTAGAGTGCTCAAGGGCCAGGGCTTCCCAGTTCTTTGTGTCTATGCCACAGTTTTTAAAGGTTAGCTTTAAGCCCATCTTTAAATCTCTTTTCTTGTCCACCAACATTCCGTTTTCTGTTCTTGAGGTGGGAGTATAGTAACTGCTTTGGGAGACAGTGGCATTTGGAAAACATGGCCTGTCCAGCGGTGTTGATGGCGGAGGAGCATCACTTAAATGCTGGTGGTCCTTGCTTCTTCCAGGACGCTGACATTTGTCCACCTGTCTTCCCAAGAGATTTGCAGGATTTTGGTGAGGCAACGCTGATGGAATCGTTCCAGAAGTTGAGTGTGACATCTGTAGACAGCCCACATTTTGCAAGCCTGTCATAGGTAGGGAGGACAATAGCTTTATAAACAATCACCTTGGTATCCCTGCGGATGTCCTAATCCTCAAACACTATCTGCTTAATTTGGTGAAGCAGAGCTCAGGCAGTGTTGCATTTCAGTGTCAAAGTTGACTTTTATGGAGAGTGGATGCCAAGGTAGCTGATATGGTCAACATTTCTAACATAACTAAAGATCAACATATTTATATCAATTAGGCTTTGAAGTTAGAGTCGAAGGAGTATAATGAATAGTATGAAGCATAGGACTGCTGAGACCATTTGGGTGCACTACTGGATATAAGTTTCAAGAACACTAATAGATAACTTAAACTGTGGTTAATAGCAAATCCTATGTTTTGGCTATTTAGGGACCAGAAGATATTCCGTCTGAACATTAGGAAGAACTTCCTGACAGTGAGATCTGTTCAGCAGTGGAACTCTCTGCTTCAGAGTGTGATGGAAGCTCCTTCCTTGGAAACATTTAAACAGAAGCAGGATGGCCATCTGTTGAGGGTGCTTTGATTGTGCTTTTCCCGCATGGCAGGGAGCTGGACTAGATGGCCATATGGTCCCTTCCAACTTTTTGATTCTACAATAGAAGAGGAAGAGGAAGCAGCTATTGCCTATACTTATTCATTCCTTTATCTCATTGTCTACTTTAGCCTCTTCCTTTCTTGCAGCCTTGGATGACTAGATTCCTATTTAATGCAGCAAGAAGGGGGCAGAGTGACTAAAAGGACTACATTTTTTTTTTTTTTACAGAGCATGCCTCTAGGTTGTAGCCTGGTAAAAAAAAGTATGACATCTCAGTCTTGATTAATTGTGCTGTATGTGACATGTAGGTTTAGTTTTTCAAAGTCACATAATACAGGCAGGAATTATATAACTACTGTTCCAGTTGATATTCTTGGTTACAATAAAGGAAACCGCAGACCAAGACACTGAGGGCCGAAGGAAGGAAGAAGGCAGCATGTCTCTAATCCTCTTTCCAGAGAGGATCAGGAGAAGCATCCAATTGCCTACGCTTTCCGCAGCCTTCACAAAGGGACATTGTGAAGAAGAGGACACTTGTTCTATTATTTGTAACTCAGTAAAAAAAAGAAGTGCAGAAGAAGGATGTATTTTTACTTCTCCCGAAGTAAAAGTGAAGGGAAGAATCTGCACACAACCTCCTTCCTCTTCTGCAACTCTTTCCTCTTCTCTAGAGAAGTCTTTTCAGAATGGGTACCTCAGAGAGTATATTAATTATTGTATGGAAGGAAGATGCAAAAGTAAGAGAAAAATCAAACACAAAGGAATACAGAGCAATAATGATATATACATACACAGAGAAAGAAAACAAAAGAGAACAGACATGGCAGAAAACAAACATGGATGACTGAAAGAATACTCAGAGAAAGCAGAAAAATGTCTATTTAGCTACATATAATGGGGGGAAGCATGCTACTCCCTCCAAAGGATAGGGCATCAAAAGCCCAATCTGTGCCAATGTTCCCATTCTTGGTAGCAGATAAGATGGACTTCCCTTCCTCACAGTGCTTTTCCTGGCAGCCATTTCTCCCCTACTCCCATCATGCATGCTAATAAAGAAGTCATATAAATTATTTGAATTGGAGCAGGAGTTGGGTGGGGGAGAAGAGCCCAAACGGATGAGTATAGCAGCAGGTATCATGACATCTGAAGATATCCTTTTGGGAATACTACTTTTAGGTTGCTGTGAGTTTTCCGGGCTGTATGACCATGTTCCAGAAGCATTCTCTCCTAACGTTTCACCCACATCTATGGCAGGCATCCTCAGAGCAATGAAGCTGTAAGGCAATTCAGTGCTAATCAAGGTGGTCAATTGCAACATTCACACTTGCCTCAAGCAGACAAGAGTTCTTTCTCCCACCATAGACATGCCACAGATATATAAACCTCACTTGCCTAGTTTCCAACAGACCTCACAACCTCCAAGGATGCCTACCGTAGATGCAGGTGAAATGTCAGGAGAGAATGCTTCTGGAACATGTCCATACACCCCGGAAAATTCGCAGCAACCCAGTGATTCCAGCTATGAAAGCCTTCAACAACACAATACTACTTTTGTTAAAATAAAAGGAAAAGCTTCACCCTCAGTCAAGCTATTAGAAATACTTGTGAGCTGGCTTTTACTGACTCTTGTAGCCTACTTCCAATTTCTGCAATCATGCATATTAAAATTGCTGATTTCAATGTAAGATTGCATACATTTGCAGTCCTAATTTTCTTAGTTTTCCAGTTCCATTCTCCAGTTTTGGAGGAAAGGTGACATACAAAAAAGTTATTTATCATCCTTCCTCATGAGAATTCGCAGCATACCAAGGCAGAGAGCTCATTATAAACTACATTATGCTCTGAACTATTCTTCCCTCGCGTTCTGTAATCTTCCATCTTATTCCCTGAATAAAGCACTTCCCACGGACGATAATCTGTTTCAGGATTTGTCCTCCATTTTAAAAAGGCACTTGAGAAAACTCAGTTTTAAAGTGTGATGAAGTTTGCAAGTATATCCGGAGAAAACCACATGGTGCCAACTGTCAAAGAAACGGAATAATAATAAAGAAGTAATGCTCTGACTTCTTTGCTTTGCCAAAAATCTGTTTTCATTTAAAACAAATCCTTATGTCAGAGCAAAGAATTATTAAATGTGTCAAGTTCACAATTTCCTCTGCAGCTGTCCAAGGAGTCTTTGGCAGATGGGTTGTAAAGGGAAGCTGCCCCTAGAGCTCTCCAAAATCCATAGATGAGCTTTAGGAGCAGGCAATCCTGAGCCAACAGGAAGCTTGACATGAGTTTTTTTAATTTAAAAGCCAAGCTCTTACTTTCTCAAATAATAACTGCAAAAATTATCCTTTACAAAGATGCAGGAGATGTTAAAGCAAATACATCTGTAGGATGAGGGAGAAGTAACATTTCCTTAGATGCCATGTCACATATGAAATACATTCTAGCATATGTAATAAGCAGCCATTAAGCTTCAGCGATACAGGATATATAGAGACATTGTCCAAAACTCTTAAGTGAATACATTTCTATTGGGAAAATGCCTAAAAGGCTGGAGTTGGGGCTAGAGGCCCCAAGCCAAATCCTGAGGATTCTGTGTCATCCACAGAATTGCTATATTTACATCGGATTATTGACAGAGGAATCAAGGATGGACTACTGCAATGCGCTCTATGTGGGGTTGCCTTTGAATACTGTTCGGAAGCTCCAAGTGGTCCAACGGGCAGCAGCCAGATTTCTAACTGGGGCATACAACTCCCCTGTTATGCCATCTCCACTGGCTGCAAGTTTGCTACCGAGCACAATTCAAAGTGCTGGCTTTAGCCTATAAAGCCCTAAAGGGTTATGGCTCAGCTTACCTGTCTGAAAGTATATCCCTCTATGATCCACCTTGGAGATTAAGATCTTCTGGGGAGGCCCTGCTCTCACTTCCATCTCCCTCGGAAGCGCGACTTGTGGGGATGAGAGATAGTGGTGGCTCCTCGGCTATGGAATTCCCTTCCTAGTGGAATTAGAGCAGCCCCCTCCCTCCTGACCTTCAGGAGGAAAGTAAAAATGTGGTTTTGTGACCAAGCTCTCAGGCAGCAATGTTTTTAGTGCAGTAATAGAATAAGAAATTGTGAACGGGCCAATGGAATGGATCCGGATTTGATTTTGAATGGTGTGATTTTAATAATTGTTTTTAAATTGTGTTGCTTAATGGATGGGTTTAAATACAAATTTATTGTATTATCAATGTTTTAACTCTATATTTTATGTCTAATGTTATTTTAGTTTATGTTTTAATATGGTTAGGTTTTTAATTTATAGTTATATGTTATAGTCTAGCTATTATGTTTTGGTTTTCACATGTATGCATGGTATTGAATTTTGCCATTATTATGTTGGAAACTGCTTTGAGTTCCCTCAGGGGGAGAAAAGCGGTCTATAAATGCAGTACATAAATAAATAATAATTCACTTTTACAGTAATAAGACTGCTATCCTAAAATCTCTAGCAGCAGCAGCAGATCCCGTCTGATTTTGGAAGTTAAGCAGAGTCAGACCTGGTTAGTACTTGGATGTGAGATCACCAATGAATACCAGGTATTGTATGCTTTTCATAGACAAACCTCTTTGCCTATGAAAACCCTTTGAAGTGCATGAGTCACAATAAATCAGCAAGTAACATGAAGGCAGACACAAATAATATTTCCAGAATGAAAACTGAAAATGGTCCCTATATATTTAATGGTTGTGTAAAAGACAGAATTTCACCAGGCGTTTTGCTCATTATCTGGTTGCATGACAAACAATATTTGCTGAAATGCCCACTTCTATACAACCATGAAAGTTATTGAAATTCTCCAGTTTTTAGTCTGGCAACCATAATTGCTATATTTCTGATATATTGCTCATAACAATAAGCATTAACCCAAAAAGTTACATTTGCTTCACCCAGTATTCTAATGTCCACCAGAACTGTTGGATTTGCTACACACTTGTGTCTTTCCAGGAATCACAAATCAAAAGCCTTACTGGGTATGAGTGGCCTTCACTCTGGAAGTTAATACTAAATTATAGTAAGTTAATACACTTAACCCAACTTCTATTAGAATAAAGAAAGGGATTGTTTCATGTTGGAAAGCATTAGATGCAAATCCAGTTTGTACATACACAGCAATGAGATCAACAGAATACAACAACAATTACACCTGAAGAAATGTTATGCAGTGAATGTAACATGATATCTTGAATATCAGTGCCCTCACCAATGAACCACTTCATTATTTTAACATTTAAATCACATTTTGTCCCTTCAGAGTGTAATCCTACATGGGATCGCAACTGTTCAGAGGAAATGATAGGGCTTCACCTTCTGCTATGGTCCCGTCCTCTCTCTTAAATCTTTGTGATTTAGAATGTGTTCATATAGGCTGATGGAGACCTGGGCCTTTCACACTACACAGTTATAGCAGTGTGGCTCTATTTCAACTCCCATTACAACATTCGGTCGAATCCTGAGACTTGCAGTTTGGAATGGAGTGCTTTAAATCATCTGCCAGAGAGCTTTAATGCTTCAACAAACTATAAACCCTGCAAACCCATTGCAATTAAAGCAAAATCATAATGCTATGGTTGTATAGTATGGAAGGATCCAGCTCTCTTCTTTCAAGTCATTATAAACATGTAGATGATAATGCCTGGCAGGCACAAACCATCCAACCTACCAGTTATCACAGAATTTTTGACACATGGGAACAGAATCAATAGCAGCTTCATATTGGTGGTGTGCCCAGAAAGCAGCATGCGGTGAGCACCTGTAAAAGCACTCAAGCTTCTTCATATAATCCTCACACCTATTATGTGAGAGAAAAAAACAATGTTATTAGATGAAAATATGTTATTACATGTATCTCTCTCTGTATTATATGATTATTTTCCACTTTCTTAGGAAACAGCACTTTAGACAGAATATCAAGTGAAAACCTTGTACGGGCATATTTAAAAACTCATATGTATATATTATTTTGGTACACAGGAGTGCTATATTCTACTACCTTTTATTTCATAAATGACGAGGCACTCTGAAGCATATGCTTTTGTGATTTGAAACACACACACAGTTCATACAGTAAGATATGAAAAATATGGGGGGGGGGGGATAAGAAGTAACTTACGATTTACTGAGATTTCCACATCTGTTCCAGTAGGTGGTGTTTACTTTAATTACTGGAGAATGAGCTAATTCCTCTGTAATGTCTGCATGACAACAAGAGGCTGCAGGGAATTAAAAACAAGGAGAACATTATAAAGGCTTACTGTTTTACATGATCACAACTGTGAAGACTCAGTACCTTTACAAGTATGTACTAGTAGTCAGAAATGGGAAGTTGGTAGTTGCTTATTTTCTTGATTGTGTAAAATAAAGAAGTAAAGTATTCCAGAAAATACGCAGATTATTCATGATGTACTTAACTCAAATTTGGAGTTTGTTTCCAAAAATAATATTGGGAGACAGCACATTGTTGGCAAGGGATAGAATATTAACTACAGATCAAAACTATCAAAATGTATAAAATCACTTTGGTACAGGGCTTAGAAAATTTCATTCTATAGCAAAAACGCATATCCTCAGGATTTTTTTTTCCATTCTTGGAAATTTTGTTCAGAAGGATTTCGTACCTTTTGGAAACAAGCTCCACAAATGTTGGTATTGAAAACGATAATTTGATTGAATTAAACTACTGACAAGTTATATTGACATTTTTGTCTATTGAGCAAGCAATTAAAACTGCAATCATTTGCACACTTATTTGCACATGAAGAATACAATATTTTAATGTTTGAGCTAGTTTCAATGAAGTATTAAAACAACTTATCAGTAGTTGTCACACTGACGACAACACTGGTTGTCACATATTTGTATCATAGACAACCTTTTGTATGTTGTTGTTGTTCATTCGTTCAGTCGTCTCCGACTCTTCGTGACCTCATGGACCAGCCCACGCCAGAGCTCCGTGACTTTTATTTATTTACTATATTTTAACCCTGCCCTATCACACCCCACAGGGGACTCAGAGAGGTTTCCAAACTGTCAATATTCAATGCCATACAAAATGTGAAGATTCAATGCCATACAAAATGTGAAGACTAAAGTAAAGATACTGTTACTTGTTTCACAAGCCTGAGTGACATTTTATTATACTGCAGGATATATCTTGAAAAAGGATGCCATGATATGGTGGGTTAACTGGAGGGAGATGTGACAGCAGCTGATTGGCTGAGTGTGCCAGGAGCCAGAGTTCTGATTGGCTGCTGCCTCTGACTAGCTGCTGAGACCAATGGTTCTAACTGTCATTTTGCCATTTTCTTGCTTTGGACAGTGAAAAGATAGTGCTGGCTGCCAACTATCTTGAAGACTGATCATTTTAAGGCATGGGGCTTATTTTAAAGACTATATAAAAGGACTATTTGATCTCTCTGTTCTCTGCCTGAATTCAAAGAGATTGAAATATATATTGTTACATTGTTTAATCTCTTAAACTAAAGTAAAGATACTGTTACTTGTTTCACAAGCCTGAGTGACATTTTATTATACTGCAGGATATATCTATATGCTTACATTTACCATCCCTCACACAAACAACATACATAGTGGTCTTTATCCATTATGTGCAGATAGCTGTTGCAATGTATCACAATTTCAATTAATAATGCAATACAGTAGATCCTTGTATTACATAAGGGATCCATTCTGGGACCCTTCGTGTATTATGATTTTTGCATGATATCTGGAACCTTTCCCCCGGGTGCCAAATCTGGTGAGAAGACTCAGTGTGTTCAGCCATACACCTCTCTCCACTGAGAAAGGAGTCTGTTTCATATAATTCAAACTGTGTAACATGAAATCACATAATATGAGGACCTACTGTACATTTTATGAATGAATTCCATGTAATGTTTACAGGCAATGCAAATTTGTGTAAAACCCAAGGCATGTATAGCTTCAGGGTATCACACACTATTAAATAAGAAAAGTCTGAAATCATTTCTGGTATGAGTGGAAACCAATTGCACTGTGGACTGTAATACATACTGACCAAATCAAAACAGATGGTACTTCTACAGCTTATTTAAAAATGGATGAAGTGTTTTGCATTGGCTGTTATATAAACAAAATGAAAATATTAAAACTCCAACAAATATTTCAATTCATCCTATTAATCTAGATGGCACCACAGGCAGTGAGGTCATATAAAGCCTAACGGATTAAATAGTTTTGCAAATGTTTTTCCACAGATTTCACAACACTTACATTTGGTATATAGGGTGCATTCTTTTAAGTTATTCTCTTCGGTAGGTCTGTGCTTATGATTACCTCCTTCCAGGCATTTTTGTTTCTTTTCGCTTACAGACACTGTTAAGCTCACAAAGAATAGGAGCATCCAAAATCTCAACATCTTCTTGTCCCCCTCGTTTTTTAAAATGTCCCTGTAACAGAAAGATAATATTGTAGAGTCAGACAGCTTTCTTCAGGATCATGGTCAACTATAGTGAGAAATATCAGAAATAAATAGTATTAAAACATAGCAGTGCATAATATAAATGCAAGAAAATAAATGTTGTGTTTACCCTATGGAAACTATATATTCAAGTGATAAAGAATTAATAATGTTGTACAAGATGATGATGTCATTAAGACTGGGAATATAAACCAAGTGAATTAGAGAAAAATTATCTTTAACTCATTTTTTGCCTTCCAAGCTGAAGCAGTGGGGTGGTGAGTGGGGACAGGAACATCCATGATAGCCTACATGCCTCACATCCTCTGATTATGTAAGCACACATTATGCAAGAGGCCCATTTCACAAAGTGGATGAAAACCTAAATTTGTACTCTGCCTCTGGCATGATTTTGGATCTGATCATCTCAGGCAGATCCTTCCTCCGGGGATATGATCAGATCAGGACAGGCAGCAGGGTCCCAGTTCTGTGCTGCTGAGGAAACGTTCTGTGTTCAGAGTTGTTCTTTGTTCTAGGACACAAAACCGGGAAGGCAGCAGAGAATAAAATGTGACTGCTATGCAAAGTTTTTAGGGAAGATAGGTAGTAATAACAGTGGTAGCACCACCAGGTTGGAATTACATCCCATTTAGATGTGCCACAGAATTGCTTTTTCCACAGCACAGTGTCATTGAAAAATTATAGCAATTAATTTTCTAGCCATTTTCCAGTAATCTTTATGGGATGCCATTTCAACGGTTCAACCAGTTTATGCTAAAGGTAGGAATGGGACTAATGAGCTATTCTGATGAGCTAATTATATATTATAGCCAACCCTCCATATTTATGGATTTTGCATCTATGGATTCCAGAAAGCAAAGCTTGATTTTATATAGGAACACTCTTGTGTTATGCCATTGAATATAATAGGACATGAGCATCCATGGGTTTTGGTATGAATAGGTAAGTCCATGTGTGCAACCTTTTACATTAGAAAAGGTAATAAACACCACCTGTTTGCCATATTATAAAAATGCACTGTAATTTATGGATTTCAGGCTATGTGCTTCCTTGTCCTGGAGCCCACATATTGAGTACTTTTAAAAAAGGGACATAACAACCCACTACTCATATATGTATGGTGACTGCAATAGCACCAAGTTTCCCCAGTTCTATTCTGACTTGAAGTGGAACAAAATACTATATCACAGAGGCAAGCTCCAACTAATAATATTTTAATGGGAAGCCAAGGCCATTTTTAGTGTATGGAAAGGTTTAAAATATCTCCACCGAATGCAATTTGCAGTGGCAGGGAAATGATAATAAATTTGCCAACTTTGATATAATACGGAGTTGATACTATGTGTTATTTTTAAGTATGGATAGTTGACTACAACTCCTGGAACCCCATTGACCTCCAAGTAATCATCAACCACTCTGCTCAGATAGAGTTGTGACTTCCTTACAAAGATAGAGCTGTGACTTCCTTCATTGTGATGCGGTTTTCCTCTTTTCCTACTGCCTTCTCCTTTCCCAAGCATTATATTTTTTTCTAGTAAGGCATCTTGTCTCATGGTAAGTACAAAGTATAGCAGTCTGTTTAACCATCTTGGCCTCTAGAAAAAGTTCAGGCTTGTCTGATAGAACATCGGGACATTATTTTTCCCCTCTTTAACATCTCAATTGGGAGGAGGAAAAGAGTCAGGAACAATGCATGTGGCAGGATGGGAACACTTTCCTATCAATTTCTCCTTTCTTGTTAAAAGGGACATTTCTATGTTCAGGTTGAACATAATTCCAAGTAATTATGAGTAAAATCTGCACAAATAAGGACGTTGGAGCAGGATTCATCTGTACTCCCTCCCCACTTAAATGTTCTGTTGTAAACAAAATAAGGCAAAGACAAACCATTTCTTACCTCTTTGTTGAATTACCTTTTCTCTTTGAGACAGGCTGGAATCCAAAAGGCTGACCTCCTTTCTTTCCTCTATCTCTCTATATACTGTCTACCATCACGAGGCCACTGTTTGCCAAGAAAAGTTATCTAACCCTTTGCAAAGCTAACATCCTTATCTTAGGGTCAGTTCCAGTAGGGATGCTGACTGACTTGGCTTGGTGGATTTTGGACAGGCCCATAATCCAGTTCAGTACTTTGCCTCTAGCAAGCTTGTCACATCTCTCATGCAAAACACAGTTTTGTACAGAAGAAGGGTATATTGAAGCCAGACCATTTTGCCAATACAGCAGAACTTTCTTCTTCTCATCTCCGTTCTTCAAACTTCCCTCTGCATGGCATTCTCATATATGCTCTAGCATTTTCCAAGACCTCTGAGGAAGATGTAAAGGAGGATGTAAAGGGGAAGGAAGTTAATTTGCCTCTCAATTCTTCTGATGGAGCATACCAGTTAAATTATACTATTGATCTTGGCTTTTAGAACACCAAAACATTTCAGACATTTTTTATTATTTTTAAACATAATCTTTATTCCATCGAAACACACATGCACAAAAGCTACATATAAATACATATTGGGCTACTTTACCATCTATATAAATAAAAATGCAACGTTCATTTGTGGGGTTAACATAACTCAAAAACCACAATTGACACCAAATTTGGACACACTAATACCTATCAAGCCAACAAGTGACCATTGCTCATGAAAACACCGAAAAACACAGCGGAAGAGACTTTGAAAGCCAAACAATACAAAAATACATTACAATGCATGCGCAAAACCACATATATACACATATACACAAATCTATACACACACAAAACACATATACACAGACTGGGCCACGGCAACATGTGGCAGGGGACGGCTAGTACAAAATAAAATATCTAGCTTATATTATTCATGAACAACTAATCTACCTACTATTCCATTATCACCATCAAGAAGCTCACAAAAGTTGACTCCCCATTCTCCAAGTCAAAGAACTAAATCATTAATTTTTCAGCTTCTCTTTTAATTTAATGTTAAACTACTTTCCCTCCAATTAAAAATCAAAAAATAATAATTATTATTATTCTTTATATAAGTCAAAAACAATTCCCAATCTTTCATAAATGTATTAAATGGGTTTTCTCTAATTAAATTAGATAATTTGTCAATTTCAGTCATTTAAAAATCTTCAAAATCCAGACTAATTTTTAATCATGTTGTAAAGATTATTCTCAACTGAGAATATTATTCATCACAGTGCACACCAATTTTCAGATTATATAAAACAATCCAAAACATATGTTCAAATGAATAAACTTTTACACTTTATTTAGATGACAGAAAGTGGAAACGTTTGTTTCCAAGTTGATGCACAGTTGTCATTGCAATTATGCACCTAGATAAAATAAAAAAGAAGTTGATAAATGTACAGCAATGATTACTACTTAGTGAAGCAATGATTATTACAGCCCATTTAATACTTGTATTTGTAGTTTTTATTTTTTTAAAAAGTTTATTTGCATTTAGATTCCAGCCTTTTGAAAAGTCAATGTCAGCCAAGGTTTTCTAGGAGTTTGGAATTTTCTTTCCTGGAAACAAACTTGATCCATTAGTATAAAAGTTGGATCCAATTTTGCTACTGTCTGTTTGCCAACTATCATTTAACAGGACTTTTAAAAGTGGGTCAAGCAATTAATATTTTACTGGAAATTAGTTTCCTGATAGTTGATGCAAGACATCATAGGAAACAAAACCTTGGCCTGTTTTTAAGTTTTAGAAATTAAAATTCTATATAAATCCAACAATTCAAGAAAATCAATAAACACCAGACACTTTTGGTTACCTAAGGTAAGAGCAAAACATAGACTCAACATAATTTTATCAGGGAGAGATTATGCAAGCACTTGGTCAAGATAACATTTCCTATCTGCTCTGACTTTTGCTCTATTTAGGAGACCAGCCTGACCACGAAGAATTGCTAAACTGTAAGAAGGAACAGGATGGCTCAAGAGTTCTTGGCTTGATCGTGAAACATCCTGCAAGGATCTCAGCAGCGTACAGGCTAAGATTCTTGCCAGGTTTTGGATGTGTTCTGGAATGTATCCCGACAATCATCTGAAGCAGGACGATTAAGAATTAGGAATTCTGTGAACAGCCTTACAGCCCCAATGCACAGTATACCTGTTTACTTCAATATATAATGCAAATATAGACAGAACAATTACAGTTCAGAGAGAGTGCCTTGCTTCCTAGAACAAAGAAGATTTGAGGGTCCCCTGATTTACAAATATCCTGTAAGCTATAAAAACTTATTTTAGTTCAGTCATGTACGTTAGGCCCTTGGCATCTGTTACTGTTTTGTCTCAAGACTGCCTGCTGATACCTAAACCTATGGATACCGAACTCCCATTATATTCAATGGCTTAATACAATTAAGTCCCTAATCTAAAATGGCAAAATCACGGTTTGGTTTTGGATCTTTAAAACTGTGGACACAGAATCTGTGGACACAGAATCTGGGCCTACTATAATAGCCACTGGGTCCAGGTATGGGCAAACCCAGGTAAGCCAGGTATGGGCAAACCCAAGCCCGGGGGCCAAATTTGGCCCCTTGGGCTCTTTTCTCAGGGCCTCCTCTCTCTCACCATCCTATCCTTCCCTCCCTCTTTCCTCCTGTCTTCCCTCTCTTCCTCCCTCCCTTCCCTTTTGTCTTTCATCCCCATTCCCTCCCTCCCATCCTTCCTCCCATCCTTCTTTTTCCTTCCCTCCCTCCCTCCCTTTTGTCTTTCCTTCCTTCTATCTTTCCTCCTTCCCTCACTCCTTCCATTTCCTTTCACCCTTCCTTATTTTTATCCTTCTCTTCCTCCCTTTTGTCCTCCCTTCCTTCTCTTTTTCCTTCCTCCTCTCCTCCTGGGGGATGTTTAGCTCGGAGAAGAGAAGCTAGAGAGGGAACGTGAGAACCATGTTTCAAGATTTAAAAGCGTGTCCCATTGAGGAGGAGGGGGAAAACTGACTTTCTGCTGTTCTAGAAACCAGGACACAAGGGAGCAATGGTTTCAAATTGCAGGGAAAGAGATTCGACTGAAAAGATTAGGAAGAACTTCCTGACAGTAAGAGCTGTTGGAGAGTGGCATAGGCTGCCTCAGAGTGCGATGGAGTCTCTTACTCTGGAGTCTTTTCTGAAGAGGCTGTCTATTGGGAGTGCGGGAGGGTTGGACTGATGGCCCTTAGGGGTTTCTTCCAGATCTCGAATTCTAGGATTATATATCAGGAATTGACCAAAAGGTTGCAGGTTCGATTCCAGGCAGCGGCGTGAGCTTCCGCTGTCAGCCCTAGCTTCTGCCAACCTAGTAGTTCAAAAACATGCAAATGTGAGTAGATCAATAGGTACCGCTCCGGCGGGAAGGTAACGGCGCTCCATGCGGTCATGTTGGCCACATGACCTTGGAGATGTCTATGGACAACGCTGGCTCTTCAGCTTAGAAATGGAGATGAGCACCACACCCCAGAGTCAGACATGACTGGACTTAATGTCAGGGGACAACCTTTATCTTTACCTATATCAGGAATAGGCAATAAAGAACATGGCCATAGAGCCCGAAAAAACCTACAACAACCCAATGCTATTTATAATAATCTTTGAAAATATCACCATATTTATACATATAATACTTATAGTAATGTGAATATTTTTAAAAATATGTTATAACATTTATAATATTATTTATTCTAATAATATTTAGAAAAATAATGTTTATAATAATATTTAATATTATTTAATATTGTAATAATATTTATAATAGTATTTATAATATTGTTTAATAATAATATTTAGAAATATAATAATATATATAATTATACACCTGCGAGACGTGCGAGACGTGCGAGACGTGCGAGACGTGGACAGTCTACAGACGTCACATGCAAGTCCTGGAACGATTCCATCAGTACTGCCTCCGAAAAATCCTGCAAATCTCTTGGGAAGACAAGCGGACAAATGTTAGCGTGCTGGAAGAAACAAAGGCTACCAGCATTGAAGCGATGGTCCTCTGCCATCAACTCTGCTGGACTGGCCACGTTGTCCAGATGCCTGACCACCATCTCCCAAAGCAGTTGCTCTATTCCAAACTCAAGAATGAAAAACAGAATGTTGGAGGACAGGAAAAGAGATTTAAAGATGGGCTCAAAGCCGAAATTAAAAACTCTGGCATAGACACTGAYAACTGGGAAGCCCTGGCCCTTGAGTGCTCCAGCTGGAGGTCAGCTGTGACCAGCAGTGCTGCACAATTTGAAGAGGCACGAATGGAGGGTGAAAGAGAGAAAKGTTCAAAGAGGAAGGCGCATCAAGGCAACCCCGACCAGGACTGCCTTCCACCTGGAAACCGATGCCCTCACTGTGGGAGAAGATGCAGGTCAAGAATAGGGCTCCACAGTCACCTACGAACCCACCACCAGGACACTACACTTGGAGGACCATCATCCTTGGACTACGAGGGATCGCCTAAGTAACCTCACAACCAGTGAGGATGCTTGCTATAGATGCTGGCGAAACGTCAGGAGAGAATGCCTCTAGGACATGGCCATATAGCCCAAAAAAACCTACAACAACCCAGTGATTCTGGTCATGAAAGCCTTCGACAATAGAATATATATAATAATATTTAATTATATTGGGTAATATTTAATAATAATATATAATAATATTTTAAAATGTAAAATGTATAATAATGCTTAATATTGCTTAATATGACAATAATATGTAAAATATAATATTATAATATTTAAAAACACAATATTTAATAATATTGTTTAGTAATATTATAATATTTAAATTGTAATATTTATAATAATGTGTACTAACATTATTCAATAATATAAATATATATGTAAAATATAATATATAAAACTATTTAATAATGTAATATGTCTAATGGTATAAATATATTTTAAAATATCATAATAATATCTTTAATTTCCTAATGTGCATGTGTACTGTGTTGTTATTTACATGTAATAATAAAAATGATAGTAATAATAGTAATAGGTAATAGGATGTATCTCTGCCCCCAGCCTTTAATCCGATGTC